GCACAGTGCCGGATACGTCCACAGTGTACCTCTCTGCCCTTATGGCACACGTCTACGGGAGTACAGGAAACTTATCCTTGAAGTAGTCGGACCCCGAAAGGTGCAGCAGTGGCGGCCTATCGAGGAAGAGAAGACAAGGATATTTCTCGGAGCCCTCCTGGAATCCCCGGAAAAATTCCGTGACCATATCCGACAGTAAGGGCTCTCTTGTTAACGCGACTTTTTAGTTCTAAAGTCATTTGTAGTCATATCGCCTCCATAACTTTCCTCATATCACATGGTTACAACGTTAGACCTGAGGATGACCCACTTGTCGAACTTGCCGATCGCGGTGATCAAGGGTTTTCGGAGTCTACCACTACCGGCGCATTTCTGGTCGACTCCTTCCCTATCAGTAAGTCCTATCAAATCCATCTCATTGGATGACTAAATGATGACGTTGATTCGCAGTGCTTTACCTTCCTCGATGGTTGGGCTTCAATTGGATGAAGAAGGCCGAGAAGTTCCACAAAGATATGGAGGAACTCCGAGATATACCTTACAACTCCGTCAAGGAGCAGGTGGTTAGTACTCTCACTACGTCTTTATCGTAACGTTAGTGACCGACTGAACGTCATTTAATTAAGGTCAAAGGGACAGCCATCCCATCCTTTACCGCCAATCTTATCCAACGATACAAAAATCCAACTCCGTACCAGGAAGACGTTAACAAGTGGGTCACGACTGGATTCTATTCTGGTAAGATTTCCGTGATCTCCTCGGCGCAGGCGTCCTAAGCTGACCACACATACAATTATAGCCGGTGCTGACACAGTAAGCAGACCCTATCTGTCTCTTTTCGATTATAGCTGATCGGCAAATGGCTGCAGACCGTATCATCGCTATGCTCATTTTTCCTATATATGATGCTCTTCCCAGATAAGCAAAAGAAAGCACAGGAAGAGATCTCACGCGTAGTCGGGTCCGCACGATTGCCTGATTTCAACGATCGTGAAAGCTTGCCTTACGTTGATTCCTTGCTGAAGGAAGTTCATCGATTGAACCCGGTTGGACCTCTGGCAGTACCGCACAAGTCGACCAAAGATGATTCCTACAACGTACGTCTCAAAAATTATATTATCTTCGGTTCATATTCTGACGAACCCATTTAGGGCTACCTGATTCCCTCTGGCTCTGTCGTTCTGCCTAACACCTGGTACGTACCGCCAATCAAGAAGTTCTTAATTTCGGCTGACGAATTTCTATAGGGCCGTAATGCATGATCCAGACACTTATCCTTCTCCCTTTGAATTCCTTCCCGAAAGATATCTGGAGCCCCACAATGACGCCAAGGGCATCAATCCAGATCCTCGCAAATTCGCTTTCGGATACGGGCGCAGGTCAGTGCTATTCATGGCTCCGAATAGGAAAACTTACCAAGAAATCTGTTTATAGAATCTGTCCTGGACAACATCTCGCAGACGATGAATTCTATATCACTGTTGCCGCTGTGCTCTCCGTGTTCAACGTTCTTCCGGAGTCTGACAAGGACCAAGTTAGGCTTCCCGATTGGTCTCGCAGTGAAGGGTACCTCTCATCTACTATTTCGTGCGTTTTACATGTCTACCAGCTTTTCGCTTTCCTCACGAGTCATGATAGGCATCCTGATCCCTTTAATTGTCGTATTATACCACGTTCGCGTGAGGCCGAGCTACTGATCCGTGCAGGCGACCCTTCAAGACAGTAAATTATGACGCATTCTGTACTTTTCCATTTTATCGTTGTTGCTTGGATAATATTTCGTTCGTGTATTGTTAATTAGTTACCCACCTATACCCGGCCTTGAGGCTATATAATTCGCTGTTCAATATATTACTAGTTACTGGAAGGGAACGACGATAATCTGAACAAGACGTGCGACCTTTTGAACACGTCGTTTTCATTATCAATGGTGATGGAAGCGTGGAATTCATGGCTGATCAGATACCCCGCAAGGTTCTAATTAACAAGAAACAAATGCCTTGCGATCATCAAATGTCGAGTGGCGGCTCCATGTTGCATGGACATAAATCATGATTCAATGTTCTGTCTCTTCATCGCTTGCTCACACTGGCGTTCAGCAGGAAAAGGAGAATTCTCAGCAGCCAAATGCAAGCGCCATTAGGATGTACGAGCACAGAGATGGGTCTTGCGTTACCGCACGTCGTCTTCAGCGTGCCTTTCTCCGCTGATTCACACCGGTTCACACCCCCACACTCAATCGCGAATCGAGCAAACTTTAAAGAGTTTCCGGCATCTAAGCCACCCTGCATGGGAGGCCGAGAAGAACCTTCGACGGGCCAATGACAAGCAAGTGATACTGGAACACAATTGCCTCATTCACATAGGAAAGATATTCCGGTGGAAGCAAGGGTTAACGTTCATGTCCAAGTGGACAGCGATGATGCCCCGGACAGAATCTCGAGCGTTCAAACAACAAGATTCAAGAAAAGGGTCTCTTGGACTGCTTTCCCAGTCCAAATCATCCCCACACCAACTGGACGTTCAGCACGTTCGGGCTCATTGACGTTAAGCGCCCCTTATCTTGAAGCCAATCCCACGGTTCCGGGAGGTGCATCTTCCCATAAGCTAACAAAGAAAGCGTCGCCACCGGGATGGCAAACAATTTCGCGTCCTGCTTTAACAGTGTTATCGAAGCAACGATGTCATCTTAGTACCCTCAAAAGAATTCCAGACTGACCGATAAAAATTGCCAAACCTTGCGGAAAAAATATACAGGTGTCAGAAAGTTTTTCAGAGTTTTATATATAGGACCGCCCCGGACTGGCCCGCCGCGTATCAATATTTACTAAACATTCTTGAAAAGAATGTGAAGATGCTCAGTCGAGGTAGTAGTAGAAGCCATCCAGCGAATTCGAGATTCAATGAGCGATTTTGAATCGTGTTACTTTGACCAGCCCGAAACCCATAGGGAAAAGGTACAGGTATGGATTACCATCGACACTGCAATGCCAAGTGAATTCGTAATGAACAGAATCTAGATCGAACTCATCAAAGAAATGGATTGAAACAGTTCGTAGCGGTGGCGAATATGCGCCGGGACAAAGAGAAGCCATTGTTGATTCTCCAATGCAGATTTCGGATCCGCACTTGTCCATCCTTTTAAGAAGCCAAATCATGGCACATCGTTCCGTTAAATTTCTCCGAGGTAAACAAAGCACGTCCTGCGCTTGGCAGGGGAACAAAATCGAGCGTCCTGCAGACCAGCCTGACGGGTGGGCTACGTTGCCCGCCATAGACGCACTGATACGCGACAAAGATGTTTCGCATACTTACCAGTCGAGCACAAGGGCACGACGGCCTCGGTCTCCCTTATGTCTCGGAGACCACCACTGCGCGTAAAACGTCGCCGACATGTTTTTTTTTCACGCCCTCGTTAACGCCTGCAAAATACAAGAGAATCCTGGACAATGTCGTTAGCATCGAGTCGCGGAACATCTGTAATCCAGATAGCGTACATACAAGGTTGACATCCGAAACGCTCGAACGAATTTGTAAACTGCAGTCGCTGGGGCATAGAAACAAGCTCTTCTCTCTCTGTCAGTTCTTTCGACGGCGTTCTCGTTACACGTACACATACATATTCTGGAAAAGCTTCATGATCATACTTGCTAGGTCCCAATCAGGACACGATATGGTTTATGCGGGCCAAGGATATGTCGAATGTAAGTTCTGACATATGTCATGTCGATTCTGAATATGCGACTGGGCATGATATATCGCATACTGGGAAGTCCGACGGGACATTTCGAAAAAGGGCCATTCATCAGATCGGATATGTCGCACGCATCGAAACCGACAAGGTCGGGTACAGCTTCCAGGGGATGAGGAAGTCGTCAAAATGGAACGAGATGATTGGCCCGTAGACGATGTCGAACCTGACGACCGGCTCTTATGCGGCACAAAACAATCTCAGAGCATACGCGAAATCGATGAATTGCTTGTCCGCATTGGCGCGTTCGATGCTCTCGTAGAGGACAGATATCGCTAGACAATTGTGCCCACAACTACGGTCAAAAGAAATCCCGTCGAAGGGCTCTTTCGATTCAATCCTCACCATCTGGCATGAACGCGATGATCGTTCCAAAGCGCAACCACGTTAATGTCGGGCTAAGCTCGTCGGGTGGCTGGCGATGATCCCGTAATACCCTACATCCGTCAATGTCTAAAAAGGCGCAGCCAGTCACGGTCAACGGGAGTTCCTAGTCCGATTTGCAGTGTGAAACGCTCGCCGTCTGTCAAGAGCTTCCTCCAGACGGATGGTGGCGATGAGCGTCTCCTTGACTATAGCTGAGCTTATTTGGTTTCGAGGGTGGGGAGAAGCTTGGAAGTCATCACGAAGTGATGCTTTGAGGTGTCCTCAATGAGTTTGCCGATGATAGGGGACCAAAGACGGGTCTGACAAGCTCTTTTAGACAGCATCGCCAAGACCGTACACCTGAGTGTCTACGCCTGGATCGGTACCACCGGTGGATTCCGTGAAGACTTGATGTTTTCGACACGATCATGATTTGCACATCTCTTGAAGAGAGAGTACTATGGCGCGTGTATATCCTTATGAGAGAGATGAGTATTGCGCGTAAAAGATTCGACAGTCGATAATGGTACGAAACCAGAAGACGTTGAACTCACCAGTACATTTCCAGCTTCTACGTCGGTCGCATCTTAGTATCTGGTGAGCATTAACCCTAACAAGGGCCCGCCACGTGCCGAGGCGTGTACGACCTTGCTGGTATTTGCTCAAGTCGTGGTGTCACTATAGGTTCGATAAAAAATCGATGATATTCCAAGAAATTAAACCAATAGAATACCCGGCAGACGGTCAATATTCCGCCTCGTCAAGCCGAAGACACAGGCTCGAAAGTTGAGAATAAGATTGGCGGCAAAATGGAGTTTGATTTGCTGTGGAGAGCCACGAGAAGAATGTCTTCAAGTATTTGAACGAGTAACGCTGACGGTGACTAGAATCTTCTTTATAATGAATTCAATATAATAGAGACAGTTCATACATGTTAGAGGGACAACAAAGCTATAAGTAAATTAGATGTACGAGGAAGAGGTATGTAATTCAAATTGTTCAGAGGAGTGTAACACATACATATTTGGGGCGAGGAGATCTTTCCTTCACTAACCGGTGAAATTCCTCCCATATTTCTTTTTACTCTAAGGGAGACACTTGACAAAAGCACGTCGACATCACGCTCATGTTGAAATCTTCCCGCTGAGACTCAAGTGTCTTGTATGAATCTCATACACTTTGAGCCGAGGCCAGGTGAGGTCCATCAAGAGGACAAGAGCCGCCCAAGCAGGAGTACAGGCAGGAGGAAACTTGTCCTATACCTCACAGGGAATATTCTCGATATCAAACTCGATTTCGATAGTCATCCTGGAGAGTGGATGTTTGAGCTGCCTCAAAGTGGAGGCCCACCAGTCGAGTGTCATGTTCGTCTCGAAGTTGCCCGTGATGAGGACACAAATGGACATGAGGGATGGATGGTGTTGCCCAGGCCAGGTGGCTCGAGAGGACTGATTATACATGAAAGGAAGATTAAATCAGAGTGCGGTAGAAGAGTCACGACACATGGACTTGCCTATATTGAAACTTGCCTATATTGAAACTTGTCCATGTTAATCTCCTAGATTGGGACACGGCCTGATAAAGTGGGAAAGTCGACGAACGAAGTTGGCGTCGCTGCATATTACATTTGAATGGTGCCAGAGAGTGAGCTTGGTCAGGTTGCGCAATGTAACTGGGAGCGGCGACTCGCGAAAAGATCGAGGAAGATCCATCTAGTAGTAGTATCGACATATATAGAGATTTGCTGGATATCCGACCCTTGCAGCGCATTACGAATCTGGCTGGCACTGGCGGAAGTGGCACTGGGTCTGCATGCGCACTGCTACCCGACGCGTACTCTTGAATACTGATGTCCTGGGTCTCAGATCCGCGAGTTTGGGGTAAGACCTAAGGACAGAGATGAACTGATCTTCGCTGCACTCGACATTGTGAAAATCCAGGACGCAGACATTGGGGAACGAAGAGACTGCGTTGATCAAGACGGGAGGGTTCATCGCCTCGAGCCAGTTTTGGTCCCAGATTTGCATGCGGTCGATAGGGAAGCGGAGATCCTTGAGTTGCGCAAGGATAAGAGAGACGTATTCATCGCGTCCGATCTGTTCTGATTTGTCATTCATGCACAGGGTGGGGTCATAGGTGTTTACGGCTGCCGGATTGGCGTCTTCTGCAGGCCCAAGTGCTTTTAGTAAACTGGAAAATATGAGCATACAAAGCCTAAGAGGTGCACATTTGGTTCTTCCCATAGTTGAGATAGTCTAACAAGCACGGTGCTCTGACAATAGGAGCCCTTTGTTTGGGGCGGTATTGTCAATCTGTAGTGAAGAAATGAGGAGGTGATGAACACGGAACAGAACAGAGGCTAACCGAGGTCCAAATCGATGCGATGGGAGTTGAGGAGACGAAGGAGACGCATATTTATATTCCTTGAGCCACTCCAGGAACTGCTGAAGCCCTTTATTCAGTCTCTGCAAATTTCTCATTAATGGTGTGATATAGGCAGCTATCCTCCAGGTATATCATGCATTTTGATATCTTGTAATATTGGTGGTGATGCGACGTCGTTCGCAGCCAGTATCGGGGGCGGGCACAACTTATAAGAGCAAACGCGAGGCGACAGAAAGTGCCAGAAAGTTTTATAAACGCCCCGAGATGGAAATGGGAATTGTTGAAGAGTGGCAAATAAGATTTTCATGTTGGCAGATTTCGAGCAGGAAAAGGGTCAGAGGGAGTTGACGAGGTGAACAAATAGATACAAATGAACATTTGTAATTGGCAGATTTCGGGAGTAAATATAGGTGGGAAGTTTCGGGTCGGGTAGACCTTGCTTACCAGCAAGGTAACCCCAGTCCGGCCTTGGCTCGAGATTCCATAAAAGGATTGTGGGAAGTTCATCGCTGTCATAACGGTAGTTCGACATCCAAGTCATTGTCCAGATGCCGGAAAGCTCACCCTCCGTTGACATTCTCGTTTCGTCCTTCTTGAAATCCCAGAAGATGTTTATTTGTACTCTGAAATACCTGACTCAACGTGTCATAGACGTCGGGCCATCGACAGCCGTACCCATACTCACCCCTATATGCGACCTCGCCGCTAGGTTCGATAACTGTGTACGACGCGTGACGGACCTCTTCTGTTCTCTGATATTACGCGCACAATGCTGCATAGCAACAGAAGAAAGTGGAGAATTACCCCCAAGCGAATATTTTCGCGAGTTGCTTTCTGTCTCCCAACAGGCAAGATACCAACTGGTCCCGGACATTGAGGGAACCCTAGTAGATATCCAGCCGGTTCTCGAGTCCAAGTTGCGTGGTAGACATGGCCTCGAACACTTTCTTCGCCTTTTCAAGCGATTTCCGGGCTGCTGGTCCGGGCGGATTGACCTTTTGGATGACATCCCGGACATTATGTCCTTCCTCCGTGGATTATGTAGGATGATCGTGGATTGTTTCAGGCATTTCGAACGCTATGCGTGCGCCATGAGAGCCCGTTTTCTGGACGCGGATTGGGTGGCCAGGCACCAAGACCGCCCAGACTTGATTTGGTGCTTGGATGGCACCGCCCAGTTTGTGATGGAATCGTTATTTCCTATGTCCGGGTATGACAAGCTGATGCAATTCCTCCCAGAGTATGTCTTTCTGAGTTCCAGCACTTTTTAACTGTCTTTCTGAAGGGCATATACTAGCACGCGTAGCTTCTGGGAGAGGTTGTAGAGTTCTTGAGCGATAGGACTAGTGCGGCCTTTGGATTCCAAGGAAGGTTTACTTTACGGGCTCAATGCTAGAACCATGAACTACGGGCGAATCGACATAAATGGCGGGATCTCGTAAGGCCAACGTCGATATACCAGAAGCTTCGTGTTTACACTTTGGGACGGTGGTGGTGGATAGCGATAGCAAAACGCCCCCGTGGTAGATCGAATAGCCTGAAGATGCAGCGGGAGACTTTGGTGTTGGTGCTATGCTGACAAAATGACGCATCGCCCAACGTAGGAAGCGAGTCATGACACACACCTGTAATGTAATGGCGAAGATACGTCAATGACGCTGTTCCCGGCGCAGCTCCTTCAGTTCAATCTGAATCTGTCGCGCGGTAGCGATGGCAGTCTTGGTGAGATTAAATTTCTGCTTCGACCAGGTAGTCGTAGTAGCCGTAGACGGATTCATGATTTCGCGTGTGAGAGAAAGTCATGGTAGTGGAAGGGTCGCTCAAGAATTATACGCAGAGTCTTCTATCAAAATCAAGCTAGTCAACCAAAAATCAAAAGCATGAAAGGCAGTAACGTACCAAGAAACTATGTGACGACACCCGCGACCACACGCGCCATGCAGGAGAGGGTTAAGTGTTGAGCAGTGGACCGGGGATAACTGGGAGGACACGGTGGCGAACGAGTGAGACAAGACGAGCACGGGGAGGATCGGACTGTAAGGACAGAATAGAATGTATATCTTAGCGGGCGGTAGGTCGCTAAGTATGGATGTACAATACCTGTAAGGACAGAATAGAATGTATCTACTACGAGTCAGTAAGGTAAGGTAATGAATAAATGTAATGTACTCACATCTTAGCGGGCGGTAGGTCGCTAAGATGTGTGGCTGTGAAAAAAGCGAAAATTGACTGTATCGGTAACTAATTAAGAGTCCGTACGACTGTACCTGCAGTCATGGCTCGTACTCTCAACACTCCCCCTCGAGCTCGACTGCTAGATCTCCGTTAGGCCCAACAACGCGCGAAATTTGGCCAGCTTGACCCGAGGTAGCGACTTCGTGAAGATATCGGCAATCATGTCCTCTGTGGGGCAGTACTTGATGTCGGCTTGGCCAAGAGTGACTGTCTGGCGCACGAAATGGAACTGGATATCGATATGCTTGGTTCTGGCATGGAATGTGGAGTCCTTGGTGAGCCGGATCGCGCTCTGATTGTCTGAGAAGAGGGTAGTGGGATTGATGAGCTGGCAGATCAGTTCTGCAAAGATCTTGCGGATCCATATCAGCTCTTTTGATGAGTGAGTCATTGCCACGTATTCTGATTCGGTGGTCGACGCGGTGATGATGGGTTGCTTCTTAGAGCTCCAGGAGACTGCTCCGATCCCAACAAAGAAAGCGTACCCCGAAATTGAATGCCTGTGCATTTGCGAGCCCCAGTCGGCATCTGTGTATCCAATTGGGAAGATGTTTTTGCCTCCGAGTATGAGGACGAGATGGATTGTGCCCTTCAGGTACTTGAAGACACGGAGGACGGCGTGCCAATGAGTTGTTCTTGGCTCATCCATGTAGCGGGAGAGGGTGGTCACGGCGAATGCAATGTCAGGGCGTGTTCCAAGCATTGCGTACATCAGCTTGCCAATGGTGACTCGGTATTGGGTTTGCTCGTTAGGTGATAGGACAGTCTTCGAGACAGAAGGTGAGTCATAGCTAAGGTCGACTCCAGGCTCGAGCGGTGTTGTAACTGATCTAGCGTCTTCCAGACCCATGTCCTTAATTATTGTGTCGATGTAGCCATGCTGGTCTAGTGTGATAGTCCTTGCGGCCAGGTCGCGCTTTATGCCGATTCTGAGTAACCAGCGAAGGGTGCCGAGGTCAGTCATTTTGAAGTGCTCGCTTAGCTGCTTCTTGACGAGGGTTACAGATCCGTCTGAGTCTGCTATTATGGTGAAATCATCGGTGGCGGCAGCGACGATAGTGTACTTGTCGTCATCAAATCTGTAGAACACTGCTTCATCTGACTGGCATACTTGGTACCCTAGTTGCGTGAAGACAGCCTTCAGCTTGTTGTACCACTCGTTTGCGCCCTGGCGGCTCCCATAAAGAGGCTTGAGTAGCTTGCACACTAGCTGCTTGCCCTTCAAGCATTCAGGAATGGTTCGGAATAGGTCGTACATGGGAGGGAGTTCCATATAGATCGTTTCCTTGAGTTCCGCTTGCAGGTAGGCATTTTTGACATTGGCCTGTTGGATTGCTGAGCCCTTACTGGCTGCAACAGACAGCAGGATGCGGAGGGTCATGAGTCGGACAGTTGGGGCGAAAGTTTCATGGAAGTCAATGCCGTATATTTGAGAGAAGCCTTTGAGAACGAGGCGTGCTTTGTAGCGTACGATTCTGTTCATCTCGTCCTTTTTGGCTCGAAAGGTGTACCGGCATTTGGCCACGTTGACACTGTGTGGCCTGGGAATTATCTCGTAAGTTCCCAGGGCTTCGACTTTGTCCAGCTCATCTCCCACTGCTTGCTTCCATTCCCTTGCCTTGTCTCCTTTCAGTGCCTCCTGCAGGCTCTCAGGCTCTCCATGACTCGTTGCAAGTGCAAACATCTGTAGACCAGCAAACCACTCTTCCTCCTTGGCTTCAAGCTCTGCCTTTGACTCGGTGCTCCTTTCATCTTCAATGATAAGGGTGTGCTTGGTCGCAGATTGCTTTGACAGTCGGTTATCATTGTAGAATCCATCTGATTTTCTTCCGGAACGACGGCCTCTGCCGAGAGGTTCAGGATCCTCTTGATTTTCGGCGTCATCTGTGATTTGGATGCGTCGCTCGTGTGGAGCAGGATTGGGACTGTCGGGAGGTGGTGTGAGCGGTGATAGTGAGCGTTCATGAGGTATATCTGGTATGGCTTTGGGCATTTCAGGTTCGTCTGCTTGACTTTTGGGCTTCGGGCTCAAGTCAGGAGTGGCTGGATTGGGGTTTGTTACTGTCTCCCCCTCAATCTTGACATCTTCGGGCTCGAGTGTCTCTTTGTTGTCGAAGTAGATGTTTCTTTCAATACTGACTCTTCTTTGTCCAGGCCAGTACACTCGAATACCCTTGGATTCTTCGTCAAAGCCAACGAAACGGCCGGCATCTGCCTGGGGTTGGAGTTTGCTTCGCCCGAGCTTCTTCACCCAGACAGTGCACCCAAATTCGCGCAACTGAGAGAGGTCAGGCTTCTGGTGAGTCGCCTTCTTGTGTGGGGTGATATTGCCCTCTAACGCGCTGTGGGG